AAAAAAAAAAAAAAAAAGGTAACATACAAACCAACCCCCCCCCAAAAAAAAAACCCCAAGACAAACCAAATGAGGCTACCAGTGGATTTCTCAGCAGAAACTCTACAGGCCTGGAGACAGTGGAATGACATATTCAAAGTGATGAAAGATAAAAATTGCCAGCCAAGAATATTATATCCAGGAAAATTATCCTTCAGATATAAAGGAGAAATAAAGGCTTTCTCAGATAAACAAAAGCAGAGGGAGTTTAATCACCTGCTGTGCAAGAAATGCTGAAAACAACTCTTCAAGCTGAAACAAAAAGATGCTAATCAGCATCATGAAAACATGTAAAAGCAAACAACACAATGGTAAAGATGAAAAATTTATAATCAGGGGCGCCTGGGTGGCTCAGTCAGTTGAGCGTCCGACTTCGGCTCAGGTCATGATCTCACAGTTCGAGCCCCGCGTCGGGCTCTGTGCTGACAGCTCAGAGCCTGGAGCCTGCTTCCGATTCTGTGCCTCCCTCTCTCTCCTCTGCCCCTCCCCTGCTCATGCTCTGTCTCTCTGCCTCTCAAAAATAAAGAAACGTAATAAAAAAATTAAAAAAAAAAGAAAGAAAAATTTATAATCAAATACAGAAAACTCCAAATCTACAATAAGATGTTATATTAACCACTTAACTATAGTATAAAGGTTAAAGGAAAAGAACATTAAATAACTATCACTCAGTGGTGAAAAGCTAAAAGTTTTTCTTTGGAGATTAGGAAAAAGACAAAGATGCCTACTTTTACCACTTTTATTCAACATAAAATTGGAAGTCCTAACCACAGCCATTAGGCAAGAAAAATAAAAAGCATCCAAATTTATCCAATTTGAATTAGAAGCAAAAGTTTCACTATTTGCAGATGACGTACTAAATATAGAAAACCCTAAAGACTCAACCAAAAACTCTATTAGAACTAATAAATGTTGTTGTAAAGTTATAGGATACAAAAATTAACAAAGAAACCAGCTGAATTTCTATGCACTAATAACAAGCTATCAGAAAGAGAAATTTAAGAAAACAATTCCATGTTACATCAACAAGAATAAAATATCTAGGAATAAATTTATCCAAGGAGGTGAAAAACCTATAGTCTGAAAACTGTAAGACTGATAAAAGAAATTGAAGATGACACAAATAAATGGAAAGATACATTATACTTCCGGGAAGAATTAAAATGTTCATACTACCCAAAGCAATCTACAGATTCAGTGCAATCCCCATCAAAATACCAAAGACATTTTTCACAAAACAAAGAATCCTAAAATTTCTATAGAACCACAAAAGACCCCAAATAGCCAAAGCAATCCTAAGAAAAAAGAACAAAGCTGGAGGCATCACAATTGCTGGTTTCAAACTACACTGCTAAACTAGAGTAATTAAAACAGTATGGTACTGGCATAAAAAAGGACAC